TTTCCTGCCCTGACTACGATAAGCCATTCGAAGTACACACCGATGCCAGCAATTACGGCGTGGGTGCGATGCTGACGCAGACTATAGATGGTAAGGAGCACCCCGTTGCTTATATGAGCAAGTCGTTGTCAGCAGCAGAGAGGAACTACAGTATAACGGAGCGTGAGACATTAGCTGTCGTCATCGCCCTGGAGCACTGGAGGTGTTACTTGGAGAACGGTAGGCCATTCACTGTCTATACTGATCACAGTGCGTTAAAATGGTTTCTGTCTCTCAGGAATCCTACCGGTAGATTAGCTCGCTGGGGTGTAAGATTATCCTCATTTCATTTAGAATTCAAGCATCGTAAGGGTGTGGACAATGTGATCCCCGATGCCCTCTCTAGAGCTCTTCCCGTCTCGGCGATTAGTACTTCCGGTTCGAACATGGTGACATCGGATTCTTGGTACAAAAATATTTATAATTCTTGCCTTTCTAAGCCGCAAACTTTCCCGAATTTCATTATCAAGGATGGCAAGTTATTCAGGCGTGCCAAGAATAATCACTCACTTTCATCCGAGTTCTTATGGAAGGAGGTTGTACCTTTTGAGCTACGCGAGCAGGTGATCAACGAGAATCATGCGGAACCCACGGCTGGACATCTCGGCGTTTTTAAAACATACCATCGTATTGCCTTGCGCTACTTTTGGCCTGGTATGCACCAGGACGTGGTGAAGTTCGTTGCCTCCTGCGAGAAGTGCTTGTCTTACAAGGCTCAAAATCACCAAACCTTGGGAGCAATGGGCCGCCCGAAGCAGTGTTCTAGGCCATTCCAAATGATTTCAATTGATTTGATGGGCCCCTTGCCTGTCACTAGGAAGCAGAACACTTATATCTTCGTAGTCACATGCTGCTTCTCGAAATATTGCCTAATTTTCCCATTAAGAAGTGCTACTGCCACTACAGTCACGAAGTTACTGGAAGTCTGTTTTCCTCGTCCATGGTGTCCCTCAGACCATATTTTTGGACAATGGCGGCCAGTTTATTTCGAAGGTCACTGAGTCACTTTTCCATCGTTATAAGGTCCCTAACGTGTTCTTCACGCCAAAGTACACCCCCTCAAATTAATTTGGTAGAACGACATAATCGTTCAATTATCACGTGTATCTCAACTTTCGTGGACAACGATCATCGCAGTTGGGATACATATATTCCGAAGGTTCAGTTCGCCCTCAACAATTCGGTGAGTGAGGCGACTGGTTTCACTCCATCCTTCCTGGTGTTCGGCAGGGAGCTCGTTACATGTGGCTCGCATTATTTAGATAACGATTTAGGCGATGAGGTTTTATTCCTTCCCCGTGACATCTACGCGGAGGATTTGGGTTGTCTTAAGGAAGTTTTCGATACTGTAAAGGCCAAATTGTGGCATGCTCATGCTAAAAACTCAACCCACTATAACCTTCGGCGCAAGCCTATGGATTTTAACATTGGTGACACTGTAATGAAACGCGCATATGTTTTAAGTGATAAGGATAAGTTCTTTAGTAAAAAACTTGCGCCAAAATTTATTAAATGTCGCGTCATCGGTAAAAAGTCACCCCTAGTTTACATCCTGGCTGACATGTCTGGGAAAGATATTGGCACCTGGCACATCAAGGATTTGAAATTAACAGGACACAATACTTAGTCATATACGTATACACTTTTTTTTAAGTGGTACTTCCCCGTGTGGTGTCGGGTTAGAATAGCACCACCCCATTTCTTCCTGTGGGTGTCGTAAAAGTCGACTAAGGGATAGGGTAGTAGTGTGTTGTGGGAGATGGGCTAGCAACCATCACTGCAATATCACAAGATCTCCATGTTACACCTACAAGTACACTTAATTAAGTTGCATGTGTTCTGCTTGTTACTTAGGAATACACTAGCGTTATATTTATATATATACATGGTGCTCGTTTTACCCTGGTCACACTTTTACATCTTTAGCTCTAGGTATTCGTATGGGTCTTCCAGTCTAACCGATGCTGGAACACCTTGCCAAATGACAGGATGCGTCAACTACCCTATTGATGTTCGTTGACGCTGATATAATCGCGTGAAGTATGAGAGATGTTGTATAAAAGGACAATGCGAATACATAACAATTTAGAGCGGATTTTATTAATTAAGAATAATAAAATCCTTATGTAGCGCGCGGGGTACTGTAACGTTGCACGTACATGTATGCATAATTATAATTAAACGGTTTATTAAAATTAAATAAACATTTAATAAACTAAATAAAAATAAAATAAAAGTTATTAACAAAAATAATTCTATAATTAACTTAGGTATCCTATTAATAAAACAAATCAGTAAACTAAAAGAACGAATTAAATAATAAATCAAATATTAAAATATTGTATTTCGAACAAACACTCTGACGCTTCGTTACACTATGCGCTTTGCATCTCTCGCGTCAGAGTTTTACCCGGCCGGCATCATTCCACGGCGTCGCGCTTCCGGTCATTCTCCGCCCGAGCGCCCTGGGAGGCGCACACTACCACTGCAGCCGCATTCACAAGCTCTGCTTTGTGTCCTCGTACGCGCTTGCAAATTTTAATCCCATTTTGGAAAAAAGTTTAAAATAATATAATAATTCCGGCACTGTGGCCGTATAGTTTTTTCGTTAATTCTCGTCACCGAGACCTCCGTATCGTCTTGCACCCCGTAAGGGTAAGTGTTGAAACGTTACCTAGTTTTAAGTAGTGAAAGTGTTTTATAGGTAGTGTCATTTGATCATGCCAGGCTGTTTGCTTTTAGCTATTTAATTGCCACGTTATTAGTGTTATTTGCATGTAAGTAATGTATGTAGCCGCTGTGCGCGTTGGCAAAAGTACCGTTACAAAATGGCGTCTCATACATTTCGCACCGCGATCAAATATCGCAAGTCACCATCATGTTTCAACCAATGCACAGCCTAAATTAGTTATCCTGGTACATTTAAACAGTATTTTACACTTGCCGTAATTTTAATTCATGTGTATTTTAATTTACGCCTCACCGCTATGACGCTTGCCTTCCATTCCGCCTTGTAACTCCGTTCTGATTATGAACACCCGCCAGCTACTCTCTGTGCTCCCATCTACTGCTAGCCTGCGATATACCGGGGGTTCATAATCGGCGGCATTTTATTACCTGGACCTAAATGTGGACGACGTTGTTTCCAGGGTGCAATTTTACGACTACAACCGTGGCGGTCGTCCTTCTTAAGAGGGCCTAGGCCTCCCCTCGACGCCGCCACCGCCACAGCCAGCTGCCCACGGCGCTCCCCGTGAACAGTCCAACCCCCCGGCCCTGCTCGACCACCTCGCGGTCACATAGGGGAGTACCTGACCCTGCCAGTGAAGCCAGACGGGCACTTTTTTTAAATTATCGGAACCACGCCCACGACCTTTTCTTTTACCAATATATAATTTTTTTTTATGACTGGTTGTTGCCTTATTTTAAACCCCAACCGTCACAGTTATTGACATTCTTGGAGAAAAAAATGATGTGAAAAGAAAGGGAATCGATTCATTCATGGGTGACGAGGAAGACGTAGGTTGTATTTGTATAATTATGTTACCGGCAATCTCTATAATTCAGTATTCTATACAATATCTACCTCCCAAAGTCGTTTAGGTAATGTATGAATTATTATTCATTTTACGTTTTGGCGCGATTAACCCAATTCGCCATTGAACTAATTCACAAATTCGAGATTGGCCCAATTCGCAATTGATGAGGTAGTTTAGAGTTTTATTTCATTCAAAAACATTGTATTTTGGGCCAATCGTGAATTTGTAATTTAATCCAATGGCGTATCGGGCCAATCACGCCTAGGTATTCTATACAATACCAACTGCGTAATTGGCAATGTGTGTAAAAGGCGTGTAGTATACATACCTAAATTATACAGATTGCCAGTAACACATAATTATATTTTTTAGGAAATATGGACTTATGGTAAATAATTATTTGATAACCTCGAGTAAATATGGGTTCAATAAATACTAGAATATCTAATTACTTTCAAAACAGACATTTATTTTAATATAAACTAAGTATAATGAGTTCAATTTGGTGCATCTGGCTTATGTAATTACTAATTATTTCAACTAGGTACTAACAAAATGTATCGTTCTATCTTGAAAAGTGACGCTACCGGCACCATTGAAATACTGAGTGAGAGTATTTCTGATGTTCTTCCCAACTGTCGAAGGCCTCTGAATTGTTCTTTGCAGAGATGTTAGTTGGTTTGTTTCTTGACGCCAAATCCCATTAATAAAAGTACCTCTCACTAAGTCTTCTTTATCAACACACGTAGGAGTCAAATATGTTTTCGACTTTTTCCTCAAAAAATTGTGTAAAGCACAACTTGCCAACACAACTGCATCTATATTTTCGAGACTTAAATTTAGCGGTTGTCTAAAAACTCGAAAACGAGACGCAAGGATGACGAAAGCGTTTTCTACAATTCTCCTAGCTCTGCATAGTCTGTAGTTGAATATGGTTTGCTCCCTTGAAATGTTCCGTTCAGGAAATGGTTTCATACCATGTTTTTCTAGTGCAAAAGCACTATCGCCCAAAAAAACGTATGGTACAGATATATCTGTTCCTGGTAACAAGTAGAGTTCAGGTAAATGCAATTGGTTGTTTTTAAGCTTTGCATAAAATGATGTCTCTTTGAATATGCCTCCATCAGACTGGCTCCCGTTTGAACCTGTATGGACATAAATAAATTCGTAATTGGCATTTACGATGGCGATTAAAACTATACTAAATGTGCCCTTATAGTTGAAGAAAAAAGATCCACTTTCTGACGGTTTTTGTATTAAAATATGTTTGCCGTCCATACAATCGACACAATTATTGAAGTGCCATTGTGTTTCAAATAACTTCGCAGACATTTTCCATTCTTCTTCCGTTGACGGCAGCTGTAATGAAATAAAATATAAATTATATTATATCATATAAAATCTACTGTATTTTTGTTTCAGGAACAACAAATAGGCCGGACGAATCAAAAAAAGCTGACAAGAGAACGCAACATCGAAATTAAAAAAGAAAAACTAATAGATGCAGCAAATGATTTATTAACGAACAGAAGGGAAACTAATGCATTCGGAGTATATGTGGGCAAGAAAATGGAAGAAATACCTGCTGGTGCCAGACCTCGCTGAGAAACTAATTTCAGAGGTCATTTTTCTTGCTAAGACTAATAATTTGACCTTTGACACAAGAATAGAAATTCCATCAAGAACAAATCGCTATTCTTCACATAACTCTGTTCAATCGTACTTCGTACACTCACCTCCTTCGATTTCCTCTAACGGCAATCAGTATATCCAAATTGAATCAAATCCTCCTCCATCCTCTCTTGCACAATATTCTCCGTCAACTGCTTCATCTCATTCTTACCTAATCTCTCAACCAGTGAATTCACCATTCCCAAATTGTCCTATTCCCATACAATCACCCACTTCTCCTTCCTCTCATACACAACAGCCATCAACTGTTTCATCTCATTCTTACCTAATCTCTCAATCAGTGAATTCACCATCCCCAAATTGTCCTATTCCCATTCAATCACCCACTTCTCCTTCCTCTCATACACAACATCTATCACCTGCTACATCTCATTCTTACCAAATATTTCCAAATTCCTCACAAATTACACATTCAAATTCTACGCCATCTTCACAGAACGCTGTCAACATAATTGAGAATACAGTGTTGTATGCAGAGGATCCGGCGGAAGGAGTTTTGAAAGAATTGTTAATTTTTAGAAAACAAATAAATATTACAGATTACTTACATTGATTGTTTTTTTTTAAAACCTTATAGATTACCCAGAAATTTCAGGAATGATTTTTGATAGTAGTTGATGTGATATTATCGAGCTATACCTCAAATCCTTATAGTCTCTTCCAGTGGCTAGAAATCTTAGTGTGGTTAAAAGCCTTTGTTCAGCAGATAATGCTGGTCTCATGTTTGTGTCTTTTTTTAGTTATTAATGGCCTCACCTTGGACAATAATTCGTAAAAACTTTCTTTATCCATTCTTACAAAGCTGTGTATGTCATCAAAGTCCAGTAGGTTCATTAAGTTCATATGACTAAGGGTTAATCTCTCCTTTAACCATCTTTTCATTCATATTCGTTTTTTTCTTTTTCCTTCAATTGCACACAAAAGAGCAAGACCCACCCCAACTTTTTGTTGTGTAGATAGGTAAGGCACCATGACGTCTCGTTGTACGGTGCCAGCGTAGAGACGTCCTGTCCGCGCAACGTTCTTCCACACTGATGGTTTGAAACCATGTAGCCGCAAAGCGCAACTCGCTTTCTACCAAGGTCACCTTGGTTTCAAACCATCGTTTCAAACCGTGTATCAGATACTTAACTTATCGTCCGGTGATATGGCCTCACGCATATGTGTATCTTTTTTTTTAATTTGCGGTCCGATCAATGACAGTAAATATTCAAAATCAATCCTTGACATTCTTGTAAAGTTGTTAAATGGTTCGTTATCTCCTTCGAAAGTCAATTCACGAATTATATTAGCCGAGTTGTTTCTTCGATGACGAGACATTTCTCTCATCCACCACCTTGGTGGTTTTCTCTTCTTCTTTATGGCACAGTGAATGATAATAAAGGCAGCAGCAGCTACACAGACACGTGAAGCCATGACGGAGCCGAGCATATACTGAGCAGCCTGAGCACGGCTTTTTCAATGTTGAGGCTCGTTCGACCAAAACATTCATTTTGTTCCTCTGATCATGCTCAGGCGAATCAGCGGCTCATTCGCCCGAGCATGCTCAAGTGGATACAAGGCTTTAGTAAGTGGCGGTGGAGGTGTTGCCATTTATCTACGTTCACACATTCCTTTCACTATTGTCGATATGTCTGCACAACCACCGCCGCCAAATGCCGGTGATAATCTTTTCATTGAAGTCACACTATCACACTCAAAAGTGCTTTTTGGTGTTTATTACTGCCCTTCTATGCGTATTGACTTCTTTACTCATTCTAAAACATCAATGATAAGCTTACTCCCTCCTATTCACACACGATAATTATGGGTGACTTTAACACTTGCCTCCTTAAACAAGATGCCAGGGCTTTTTCCCTTCAGTCAATCTTATATTCTAGTAATCTCTCTATTTTACCACTAAATGCCACGCATCATTTTCCAAACTCGAATCCCTCACTCCTTGACCTTATTTTTGTTTCCTCTTGCAACTTTGTCACGAAGCACGGCCAATATGCGGCCGATGCTTTCTCTTATCATGACCTTATCTTTCTATCCTATAATACCCGATCTCCCAAATTTAAACCAAAAATTTTACTGTAGCGTGATTTTTGGTGGCATGGATAAAGACTGTCTTCGAAAGGATGCGTTACTTTGGGACTGGTCAAATCTTTTTAGCGCAGATAACTTAGATAGTAAAGTTTCAATCTTTACTTCAGACGTTATAAAAATCTATGATGTTCATGCACAAATGCGTTTAATAGGGAAAAGTATATTAACATTTGCAATCACTGCAATAAGGTGTGTAGGGATGCTCAACGAGATACAGCAAAGGTCTGGAAAATTCTTAGATCATTGAGTGTTGGGAAATCTAAGAATACTCTAACGACAAATGATTTAAACGTTAATCTTTTAAATAAACATTTCTCTTCTTCGTCCTGCTTAGATAGCACTGCTAAGGCTAAACACTAACATTTCTTTCAACTATTCCCACTCCCAATCACTCCTCTTTTATTTTTAAACCATTCACTGCTTGTGACGTTGAGAAGAGCATTTTATCTATTACTTCCAATGCAGTTCGAAGTGATTGTGTCAGTCGTGACATGATTCTTCCTATTCTTGATATTATTCTTCCTATTATTTGTCATATCCTTAACTTCTCCATCTCTACAAATAGTTTTCCATCATCTTGGAAAAATGCTGAAGTTATTCCTATCCCAAATAAAATTAATCCTGCGTTCTGTATATCGTCCTATCTCGTTACTGCCCTTCTTATCTAAAGTCCTTGAACGCCTTATTTACACCCAGTTCAACAGTTTTCTTTATGCTAATTCTCTCCTTAATCCTTTACAGTCAGGATTTCGACCTGGACACAGTACTACCACAGCATTGGTGAACATTACCGATGATATCCCATTAGGAATGAAACGCGGAGAAGTAACTGTTCTTTGTTTATTAGATTTCAGTAATGCCTTTAATATTTAAATACAAAGTTACCTATTTTGTGTTTCAGCTGTGAATCATGGGCGAGATATTGCTTCCCCAATTCCCCATGGTCATCTCTGGATTTTCAAGAAAATTTATATTCCAAAAATAAGATGCTGTGCCTTGAGGTAAATACCTGATAATAATATGTTACATTTCTGCTTCTAATTAGGCCATTTTCAACAAGAACAAGAATTTTGGACCCAACGAAATCATTTCATGTAAAACAGGTTGCCAAGAATCGCAAGTTTAATCCATATACTTACAAGAAAAATTAGATGGTTTAGGTTCACATTTGAACCCGGTAGGTGGCGCTTTTGTCAAGGCTCAGAAAGCATCCTTGCTAAGCAGGGGTGGATCGCTAATATTCTACATTTTTCAATGTAGAAATTCCTTTTTATTTATGTAATTTTAATTCAACAAAAATGTTATCGTGTTAGCCCTCTTACTCTTGTCCCTAACTTTGTCTGAAAAATGTTACTTAATCTATGATATTTTTCAGAATCAAACTCTAGCATTGCAGGAATATCTGGGATGAAGTTCATCTCGAGTCTCAACCAGGTCCATCCCTTGTTGAGAATATTACAATGGAGAAGATAACAAGGTAACAATATTAGACTTTTAAGTACGTAGGTAAAAAGTCTAGACCAAACACATAATTCTAGTTTTTATTTCACATCGATCGGTGAACTATTACCGAAGTTATAAGCGTGGAAATTTTACGTACATTTTTAAAATTTCACCCGTGCCCGCGAGTAGCGCGTGACGTCATCGATTCCATGCAGCCGGCCGGCACGAGCGGCAAGTTTGCAAGTTTCTCTAGAAAGTGAAGATTTTTCTTCATAGCTTGAAGAACTTACTACATCATCAAATTGAAGTAGTTTCTTATTCTCTTGTACTGGCCGAACATTCATCTTTGATTTCTGTACTTTTATGTGAAACATTGTTTTTAGGTTTACTTGAATTTTTTTGTAGCGGGGGTATCAGCGTTGTTAGTTATATATTCTTCTGGCAAGGGATCAATGTCAATATTATCATCTAGAGTAGTAACAGGATCGACAATATATATATGCTCAATTTCTTGTGAAGTAGTGGCAATCGCATGTGCAACTGTTTGCAGATTGTGTGCAGATTTGGAATTTAGTTTTATTAGTAAAGATCTTTGTGGTTTTTCTGTACACCGATTTTGACAAGCAAACTTGTGAGGCAAAACATCTTTTTTAAGTTTGAGGGGACCACCAACTAGTTTGTACTTCACGTAGTTTTCCATATCGTTTTCGACCTAGAACAAAATACAAACTTATTTAAAGTCTATAAAAAAAAGGAACCTCGTAATTCGTATTCCATCAATATTTAATATATGTACCAACTATGTAATACATAAAAATAGGACAACACAAAAAAAATTAAGTGCTCCACTTCATATTCAAACTTCTTCTATTATTTGCAGCCCGCGAAGTGTGAAGGTTGAACAGCTCTGCGATGTGTTTAGTTTTTGCTCGAAATATCGTAAAAATATAAAAACATTTGTTAACATATTCCATATTTTAACCTTTATATGCATTACAAACATTTTAAAATTTGCTGCAAACATAGGTAGATATCTAAACTTACGAACTCACGACAGGTCATTGACTTATCTACATTACATAGGTACTTTACCCAAGTTTGTATGTTTATTTACACTGAATTAGTATTAGTTAAATATGTAAGTATTAGGTATTGTTTCTTCTTGAAATTATAATAATCATTAAGCGTGGAAAGGTTCAATGAATCGTTAGTTACTTAAACACACTCGAGTAGGTACCTACATGCCTAATAGAAAGCATTTACTAGCAATAACCAAGAGCTATCATGTGAAGGTTAATATTATTTGAATACTTACATCGAAATGATCCTCACAACAAAATGCTACCGTGTTTGGTCCCAAAAGATGTGTTCTTCTCATA